GGCGTCTGTGCCCTCTCGTCCGATATGCTTTCTCGCCCATACCCTTATCTTTCGCACCTAGTGTCTCTTCATCCTTGCACAGTCCGCCTCATAAAGAAACGAATACCTCGTTTTCCTATGTTTTTAACTTCTTTTCTCCCTTTTTCTTCGATGGCGACTCGGTTTGCGCTCCTTTACCGTTCATTTTCAAGCGCAAATAGCAACCATCTCTGCTCATGCCAACATGAATTTAAAAATTGCCATAATCATACATACATACAACATATACACATACAACCGTTCCTAATATTTTGTAACTATATCGTGAAAGATATAAAATATGGTTGGCTATTAGGTTGGCTACTTTGAGATATCGTTTTTGACCAACGATTATTTTGTGTATAAAAGCTGTAAAAGCAATCAACCTAAATTATTTCCTCCTTGTGTATCAATCGCTCTTCATCTTTTGTTACGCAAAGCATGGAGGCCTACCTCGTAGAACTCTTCTAGATACAACTCGAAGAAGTTAGGCACTCAAATTTTGACGTCGTCGCCGGTTATTGAATTTATTTGCTGCTAAGGAGTGCGGCCTTTGACTTGGGTCAATGATAGTTGGACGGCGCCAGATCTGTGCTAGGCGCGGAAGCTAAAACCGGCCCACTCCCCGATTTCTTGTTGAGTGATCTTCGCGACACGTGGTCCAGCGTTATCATGCCAGTTTTGTAATGGCCAGATTTACCCCCTTGACGACACAGAGCTCGGCCAACGCGGGCGGCCTGTTGTGCGTCGAGTTCTGCTGTAACTGTCCGAACAACAATCAGCACTCCATGGTGGGCCAGTCCCTGTACTGTTTCACCATGCACCAGCAGGACTTTCTCACCGTGGATGTCCGGTTTCGGAGAGGCCCTCAGCTGCCCATCTGCTGCCAACCACTGCAGTTCTCTTCCCACTTTGTTATCGAGCACCGTCCTTCTTGCAAAACACTCTTTCAACGAAGTTCAGGAACCTTCTTCTTTGGAGTTATGGAACAGAGTTCTAGTATTGGCCACCAGTACTGCTTGCTCGCGTCGCTCAGAATAGGCCGAGCCCATTTTCTGTCCTGAAAGGCCTTAGCGAGGGCTCTATTCGTTGGCTATTCAATTTTACAGGTGTAGGTCAAAATCCATGCGTCCTCGAAACGCTGAAACCGCAGGTGAAAGTGCCCCGAAGATCAAGCGTGCTGTTAAAACTTTAGCACCCTATGCGATAAGATTCGGTGGTCTTTTGTCCTTGCTTGGAGTCCTACCACATGCAAATGCGCCGGACCATGTTTTCAACTAGCTTCGAGTGGAAGTTTCGGCTCAAACACAATCACTTTTTGGCACCTAGGATTTTTTCATATGCATCCGGAGACGCTCTCTCAAATGAGTGCTCTCCCATTGTTGTAGAGATTGAGTTTTCAGCCGCAAAGTCGAGGGCGCGGGGGCGGGGGGGGGGGGGGCGGGCGGGGGCGTGGCAAAAAGGACATTCAAAGTAAGCCAACCTAATAATATCTCGAGCTTCGCGAAGGATTTCTATGTCTGTTCTATAACCCTCCAGTGTCTTGCCTTTCTTAAGAGTAGCAAGCAAAACATTAGAATAACCTTTCCAAGAGTAACTGAATTCACCTCCAATTTCTTTGAGTATTGCAAGGCTAGACAATTGGGCAGAACTTCTGATATGGGTTGATTTACAGTGTCAGACTCCACTCTTTTTTTCTCCTTACTTTGACAGACGGATGAAAAGGCGGATGGCTGAAGCGATCCTCTCACGGAAATAAGTTGAGACAGTTGTCAGCCGCATTTGAAATATCGCTGCAAAGAAAATTTCAACCACGTCATTCGCAGCTTAAAGCAACAGTCCCAGCAGGGTTTTTACCTTCAACACTGATGGTGTGGAGCTTTCCAAGGTGAGTTTTTTGTACAATCACACTTCTTACACTCTTGACTAGGGCTAGCGCATCGTTCCACACCATTAGTGTCAAGGTAGTTGCTTTAATTTTATCCCTTGATAAAGTGAGCGAAGGTAGCTGCGGAGGTGGCTAGATGCACATTATCTTACATGGGTATAGGGCGGGAATGTGGCTTCGTTCCTCCATGAGCGTTGAACTGGGCTTGATTTGTATGCAAAGATAAGACAAACGACCATAACTTCGTATAATGTATGCTATACCACGTCAAATTTATAGGATTCCACAATTTTAAATGAATGCCATCTGGCACATAGCGTAATCCTTCCTGTTTCAGCTACAATTTTCATAATCAAAATTTTTTAAATCCGTCTTAAAGGCATGCCCCAGGATCACATTGGTGTGGCTCTTGTACACGAATGCGAATGTATTGGTGGGAAGTGGGCCGGCAGTAAAGAAAAAGGAAAAGAATCCGTCAAAACGCTTAGGTTAAGGGCTCACTCACCTTCCTAATCGGCTGTGCTAAGGGAATGAGAGACTAAGCGCGGAGAGGAGAGTATGGGGCGAGAGAGCGCTACAGATGAGAGATCGCCAGACAACAGCCTGATAAAAGAAAAAAAAGTCTGCAGCTTGGGCAGCTTACTTTGCAAGGCCCAAGCGCTCTTATCGGTCGGTTTCCGTGCACGAGAACGCCCCATCTGTGATTTTCTTCGGGTCTATACTTCAGGCCAAAGAGAAGCGTTCACACGACCTCTGCCTGGGTTGTGCCTTCAAAGATGATGTTGATGATAGACTGATCTCCACTGATAAGCGCGAAAGATTCACTAGTGCTATTTAGTCCCCTCACAGATTTGAATACGGCCTTTCCGCTTCAAATATCGGGTCTATTCCGATCATGCGTCGAAACTGTGCCAACGAAAGCGCAGATGAAATCAGGCGGTGGTTTTGTCGGATGGAGCGCGTTCTCACTCAGATACGAGAGTTCCTACTTTCCTTTTTTCAACAAGCTATGCTGAAACACCCTCAAGCTTTTGGTCTGTTTCTGTTTCATCAGATGATCAGGATTTACTAAGCGGATTGTGCAATATTACTAGACTAGATTAATACTATGAGATTACAATTGTTACTAAATAGAACAGTGCACTTCTGCGATCCCAGTGACTCTGGAACCAGTTTAATTCCTCCCTGACTCGAAATGAATCATAACCTCATATAATCCTCACTTCGAGCAACTGCTATTCCACAGCATTTGACTCGAAACACTGCTGGTTTGGTGCACGTTCAATACTCACTAGACGCGTTGAATACTTCCGTATATGACGACCCCCACACGATAGTCGAACCCCGCATAGGTCGCGCCCCGATCGACCAGTCACTTCGGCATTCCAGCGACAATCGGCTCCGTCGTGGCGCCTATTGATCATCTATGTCGATAGGCGACGAAACTATCCTTTCCGTATGTGAAATGTGTAACTAAGAAGTGATATGACAGTTGCAATTGAGGCTAATGAAACTGATTTTGTTTTAAATAGAAAACGTATAACGCTTAGTAAAAGTGAACGGTGAATAGCAACGGCTGATCATCTCTCCGATGGGGCACAGATGGTTGAGTCACACATATCACGTGAGGGTGTTCCCTATGAACTTCATAAATGGGTATTTTCTAGATGAATTGACTGCTACCCCGTTTCGCATTCTGACAATGTCGTCAGCCTGTGAGTGGAAGTTCTCGAAAAAAAAAGACTCAAAAGGAGAAAGCGAAGGATTTATCCATTTGTGGCCACCGGTTGATCGCTTGACAGCCATCCTTTGCGCCATTCACAAAACCGTTTCGGTGTTCGTCAAATATATATTAGCCGACACACAGAATATTTATGGATGTCGTTTTCTTTTCCACCTCCTACTCGTAGGGAACGCCAATAAATACCAATAAAACTTCTAATAGAGACATAAGAGAATGAAAACCGTGCTGGTGATGGCATGGTAAATTCTAAATCTTGGAAAGTATAAATTATGACTAAGAAAATAACTTTTTAGGCAGAACAACAGAGAAATTGAAACAGTTGCATACTGCTGCTTTCATTACATCGAGCGACTACCTCTCACAAAAACGGCCACTTCACCCTATCATTTCGGTAAAGCTGAAATCTCATGCATCCTACTACCTCCACTGTTGCGCTTGAACATGGTTCACCATTAAAAGCTTATTACACCTTCTAGAAAGAAAGCGAGCACGCAGTAATGTCTATAAAACCATACACCAAAGAACAGACAGAAGGTTCCGAGTTTAAGGAAGTATAGAAATGAGGCGGCAGTCAAGAACCTCTGTTCCCTATCAAACAAAAAATTATGCAAAAAAGGTAACATTACTCGTTATTATAGGCCACTACAGCCCTCACGACAACAATAAAGAGGCTTCGTAAGGAGGACGATATTCGACTGACATGGATCCGCGTATTTGACCGTATTGATCTTGTTTGCCTCATTACGTTCCAATTAGTCAACATTGTCTGTTCTATACTGTTTATGCGGTGAAAAAACATACTCCTCGATTTTATCATTCATCCGCTCACACGATCAGATACACTCTTCAAGCGAAATCTTAAAATTTGAAGGAAACAAATAAATACGAGTTAACACAGCTGGAGTGACAATTTTGCAGGGGTCACATCAAGTTTGCAAATTATACGGCTCGACGGAATAACATTCAGGCTGGGAACGGTGTATGTGCATAGGAACGAGATACACAACACGAATGATAAGGATGATGAAACAATACACCCCGATGTGGTACAAAACAGACATTTTGAAAAGCACTACATATAAAACAGGGATGGGTTTCAGCGGCCCTTGGAATACCAGTACCAGGGTCGGGATATTTCTGGTATAAATAAGAAGAGAGCATACATAATCACGAAAACTAGCAAAGACGAGAAAAACGGAATTAAATATTTCTGCTGTTCACAGCCAACGCCTACCGTAAACGAATATTCGAACGCGAGCAGGATGACTCGATCAAGATAAACGGTATACGCTAAACGAAAGACGGAACAGACCTACAGAGAATTGCACCAAGCTATTTGATGAGTTTTCCTTATCCTCTGTTCTTCAGTTGGTTGCTCAACCAATCAAGACCTTCATAGAGACCATCTCCCGAAGTTGCACAGGTCGCCTATAACGAAGAAAAGTGGTGTTTCAGTCATATTTTATCATGACACAGCAATTTCTCAGCTGGTGCCGTGCGCACGCTATAGAAATACACCTTTCAAGCGTTATGGAGTATCATATTTATTGGAAGCACATAACTATCGCCTAAACCAAAACTGCCGGGTGTCCCCCAAGAGGCCCGTCGCGCGGCGAAGGAAGAGACGCAGACGCGGCAAAGGACGAGTCGCAGCGCATACTGTAGCGGTTAGGCGTCAGGTTAAATAGAGTGTACCATACTACGTCTCATATCGCACAGCACGCGCTGACTCGTCCTTTGCCGCATCTGCGTCTCTTCCTTCGCCGCGCGACGGGCCTCTTGGGGGACACCCAAAACTGCCCCGTCTGAACAATTGTTTTGAAGTATTATACCTGTTTAAGATCAAGTTTTTGCTAGCAGGGAAGTAAGTTATTGTTATCAGGAAAAACAAGGGAAATACCCATATCCCCAACGAGCACCCGTCATTTCACTTATTTGCTTTATCATTTCAATTTTGTACACTTTATTCACACGAAAAAATATTAAGGGGCTGAAAGGAAAAACACGCTTCCGGAATCCATAAACGGTCGCTATGCTTCGATCTCTTGCTTAAATCGGTGATATTGCGAAGCCACGACATGCCACGCCCTGACAGCTAACCTTTTTTTTTTACCAGAACCAACTATCCGTTGAGTCCTCTAGGGGTGTATGGGGTTTTTTCGAAGTAGTGGTACTGAAAGAAGTATGCTGAATGGACGGAGATGTCTATGACGGAATTTACCATTTCAACAATTACATTACCACTTCAACGCTCCCTCCGCGCCTCGCCGACGCTAGAGGGAAAGGAGCTGGGATATCGTAAGAGGAGTTAAATGACACTATCGACATGGTTAAGTGTTGTGGGGATCACTAGAAGGTCACCTCTCAAATAGGGGTTGCGAAAATTTTGAAATCGTCGAACGGCTAGCTGATCTTGCTTCTTAAATCGAGAGGACCACCCCTCCTCCGTTCTTGAGTCACCCATGGCTCACGATGTGGTTACATTGCATTGATAAATAAGTCATCGTTTCAGAAAATGAGGTAGTTCCTCGGCACCCATCATTCAACTGAAATACGTCATTCACTGAAGACCGATTCAGAAATGTAAAGCACTGAGTACTGGACGGATACTGTGAGATGTGGAAGCTTCATGAGATCATACAACGGCCCTCACAATACTCTTCCAAAGCGCTATACTCTAGCCAATATAACCACAATTGACAACCCTAGTGACAGAAGGAAACGTGGTAATGATACGCACTTCCGAAGGCAAGGACAATAAACCCTTTCCAGCCTGCGCACTATAAAATTCAAGTGACGCTCCTCTTATTGAATAGTACAAATCTCATACATAGCATAGGACTTAGCGATTGGTGGGAGTTCTGCTTAGAAGAACTCATTTAGATTAAGTCTCAGAAAGCAGTATCACTACATTCATCCTCATGAATGAAACTGCCGGTTTCTGGCGTATTTGTCTCCAGTCATGAAAATTTACGCAACAGGCCTTGACGCAGACCTCTCGCATCTTTTGAAAACATGTGAATTTATGCACCAGATAAGAAAGTTAATATGCATCATATAATTGTGCTTGAGAAGAACAACGAGTCATTGTCCACCGCATGGTGAATGAAACAAATCTACTCACCTGTATGTACCACGACCTGTTTCTCAAAGTGTGTAGACCTAACTTGTCCGTAACCTCAGCTGCGTTCATAGCATTCGGCAAGTCCTAAAAAAATAAACTAACTAAAATTGCAAATAAAATTGAGACTGTGAATTTTTTGCGTAATAGAAGCACCATATCAAGGTCTCTCAAATGCACGAGAGCGACGTGCCACCGCACCGTAACATAATTTGAGCCAGTTCCCCTGTAACAACATTAAAAAGTATCTTCGGGGGCTCACTCAAGCCCCATTTGAGTGCTAAAACAGAGCACTTCTTTGCATGATTTGAGAGCTATCGACCCTCAACCAACTAAATCTTTCATCTTCCTACCAAAGACCATCGGACCACCTCAAAATCTATCGTTTCAAAACCCAAAGAATTTAATAGTCAACGCACACGGCTCGCTCAAAACGATACTCGAGCATTCCCATTGTAACCATTAACGCAGAAGACAAATGTAAAGTATTCAACAAGCCCGTTGCAAAAGATGGCAGTGGGTCCCACGCGAATCAAAACATTTTAAGACGAAAAACAGAATGAGGTGCTGACAGCGAGTGGCGCAATGTGGATCAGTATAACTATGGAAACCAAACACAACTTGCACAATACAGAAACCACTTTGAAATTCACAACGATTTAGGGGTTAGGCAAGGCTAAGTGAGTCAAGAAGAATTTTTTGATACGCCCTCGGCGCCAGTAACAAGGGTCGCTATGCACCACTTTTCCTGGGGGAATCCGTGTTCAAACTTTGGACCACCTTGCAGTCTACGCGTAGAGTAGGCATGTGTCAGCCAAGGGATATTGCAACCGTGCGATCACAGAATCGATACCCATCTACCCCACACTCGAACTGCGAAAGCATAAGTCGCACAGTAAGACCGTGGTCTAACGACGGCATATAGAAATATGTGGTTGCTATTACGTTGACCTCGGCTACGTTTTACACCGAAGCAGAAGTTGAACGGCCATTGCCAAAGTGTTACAACTTGTTTCCATCACAGAGAACGATTTACTAATCAGAATTGTACTTTCAAAAAGATGCAGCATAATGATGAAATAAATTCCAAGAACAACTGTTTCTATACTTTTAAGGGTTATAACATAAGGCGAAGGAATTCTATCGCAATAGAAACTTAACCCTGTAACAAGAAGTTTTGCTCTTCAACGATTGCCAGTAAAATGAAATGCAAAAAACCACATTGTGGATGTTGGCCAAAATTGTTTTTCACCGAGTTGTCGCATTGTTCACAGCCTCTAACCTGGACAATTTGGTGCAAAAGTTTGGAACAGATTTAGGATGGAGGAAGTTTCTTCATTTCCAGAAGAGATACATTGTATTTTAAATTCAAGACGTGATATGTTTACAAAGTGAGTTGGGAGTGAGTGTTGTATTACGTCTCAGGAAGTAGACCCCTGCATCCAACTCTAAACTGCCACCTCCAGAGCCTCTTAATGCCTCTTAAACATATATTGCACGGAACAGATTTGAAGCACAGCGTATTGATCAAACACGCCATGGGCCCCAGAGACGCGCCATGCGCTCGAGATTTTGCGAAATATGACAGGAGTCGACCCATACCGACAAAGTTACCGCTCTTCTGCCCAACGCGATCCCAAAACTTCCGCTACGTCCTTGCACCGAGGATTCCTACTTAAAAGCAGAGGTCAATAACTAGCAACGAGGCGGTATTTGTCGAGGAAGCGTGGAGACTAACGCTAAACAAAAGAAGATGGGTGACAAGCAATTGAAATACGCAGAAATGTCGCTTATGCCGATTCAGTAAGTATTGCGCTAACTTCGAAAGCACAGTGGCAAATAAAATAACATAAATAAGGTAACAACGCAGTGCAAATGATAATGCACCATAGCTGTAGAACCATATTATTTTATGATTACCAAGAGCTCTTGGCGTGCACCAACGACCCACTGCGTCGACTGTGGACCGTCAATACACGCGTAAGATCTCTTGAATGGCCTCGTTTCCGAGTGGTTGTCGAATGAATAACGCATGCCAAAATGAAATCGACCAACTACAATGGCATTCGTTTCTAACTATTGGCGAAAGGAGATCCGTTTTAGAAACTTCCGAGGTTTCTGAATACTTGGAAGTTTATCCAAGAGTATATGGCTACTTCCGGTCGTTTCATTCCCTTCCCATCTGGTCAGTACCTACTCCATCAAACCTCCTCTTAAAGCAGGTCAGTTGACTCACAACAAAGCAGTAAGTCTAGCCATGGAGAATATGAAGGGTTGCATCAGGATCCTGTGGGCCGCACTGGCAGCGACCATTTCTATTGACGGTATGACTTTCCTGTGCACGAAAGACGCGACAGGTCACCAGTGCTTATTGATTTTACGTTGCGGTGTGTGCAGAAAATTGGGTCCCGCAAAAGTAATTGGGAACTCGGAAGCATCCGCCACCTGCAGATGCTGTTGCGAAAAGGAGTAACATGGATTGGAAATCTTACCTGTTTATTGGCGAAAACAAGCAGAACAGCATCCCTGAGTTCGTCCTCGGCAAGCATACGCATAAGTTCTTCTCTTGCCTCTCCGACTCGTTCACGGTCATTTGAATCGACAACGAAAATAAGCCCTGCAATCGATTGCAATAAATATCACAAGCACACCCATCACTGCGAGGACGCATAGGTAGAAAACAGGTAACAAAGCCACCCAACAAACAACTATAAAACATGAAATGGAGTACCCTGAGTATTTTGGAAGTAGTGCCTCCACAAAGGTCTAATTTTATCTTGACCTCCGACGTCCCACACTGTGAAAGAGATGTTTTTGTACTCGACCGTTTCGACGTTGAAACCTAAACACTGGCAAATGAAGTTTAAAAAACAATACGCAGAATGAACCACCAATTAAGAAAAAGCCGAAAGCCTACTCATCGAAAGCACAGTACAGCTAAACTCGACCTATGGTTGGAATAGTGGTGACGATCTCTCCAAGTTTCAACTTGTACAATATAGTCGTTTTACCAGCAGCATCCAACCCAACCATCAGGATTCGCATCTCCTTTTTGCCAAAAAGGCCTTTGAGAATGGCATACATTATACGAAGTTATACGA